TGAAGTTTTCTCGCGGAAACCCTGGTGCCTGTCATATGCCGCTCCATAATATTACGGGCACTTCATCTATGTGGAGGCAGAGCCTACCTTTCGGCTGATTACAATGTGGGATAATGGACTCTCGACTTGCACTTGTATTCCCTGCTCGCTAATAAGCCAGCAGCCAGATGCAAAGGGTATGAAATATTCAACTCTACGAACATTTTCCGGGTTTTTGCCACTTTTTGATTGTCGCGACTTTGAGTGCCCCGTTGTCGCTGTTGCAATGACATTAAATTATTCCAAGGTGAATTACCATATTGTCAGGATAAGGGCCCTCGGTCTAGACCGGCTCCTGAAAGGCCTCCTAGGATGGCCTCCTACGAGTATGCTGTATCGAGGCGACGAGGCACAAGGCACAAGCAACAAGGCATTTGCTTGGCAAAATATTCTCAAATATTGCGTATCCCCATCCCTACATTTTTCCTCATCTCGCTGCTGCTGCTGTGCGATGTAGCGCAATTTGTTCAATATTATCCCTTTAAATTCCTGGTCCTGCACCCTTCCTGGGAAGGCAAATTGCTTGGCTTGGGCTTGGCGGGCTTCCTTATTAAGTCGAGGAGCGGCAGAAAGATTGTAACCCATACCCATACCCCATACTCTTTATCAATTTTTTTGTCTTTCCTTTCTTCGGATTCGCAGGATGGAGGGATCCTGTTGGCCCACATTCACGCTCGACTTAATTTGATACAAGGACTAAGCAGGGAATGGGATAGCCTGGCTGGGGATGCTTCATTATGGGATCCACTAAATAAATATATAAACTCTTAATTTTTCTGAGCGCTTCTGTGACACCGGCGAGAACTTTGCCCAAAAGTTGCCTCCAGTGTCCGACTCGAGGATTTTCTTTTTGAAGAAAGGATACAGCAAACAGAAGTCCAAAAATCGGCATAGATGCTGCCTCCATCCTTCCACCTCCTCCTGTCATTAAAGATTTTCATCTCAGGATCCCAGAAAATTAAACTGTGATAAAGCTGTCTGTCTTCACGTTGATGGCGACAAGCACCGCACTTGAAATGACATTTTCTAGGTTTACGAAAATGTGTCGCTAACGGAAGGAAGTCTTTTCCCTTCCTGCTTCTTTCTTGGCCAAACAAATTTTACTTATTTTCCTTAGCCTCTTGGAGGAGAGTCGAGAGCCCGTGGGGCATTCCTCAGGACAGGGGCAGGGGCAGGGGCAGGGACAGGCAGAGCCAAGCCGCGGACAAAGACAAAGTTTTATTGCTGGCCAATTGGATCCCCCATTCCCCCAACCCAAGTGCTGTCGCTTTCGCTGTCGCTGTCGCCGTCGCCATTGTGGTTACAAGTTGTATTTTTATTGAAAAGCTGATTTTTATGGCGCACAAAATATTTTTATGTGCAGTCGCCGAAACTACTGCCGTGTTCCTCCACTCTACTCCACTCTACTCCACTCTACTCCACTCAGGGTCGTGTTGGCTGTGGGCTGTGGAGTCCTTTGCCTGGTTACGCAGCAGTGGCTTTCGATTAGGGGCCTTTGTGGAAATGCAAAGAGTCTTTAAGCAAATTAAGTTTGCTGCTTCAGGCAGTCAGATTAGATTGGAACAGCTCCAACTACTCAGAGTCTCTGATTTCGTCCCAGGAGTGGGAGGCAGTTGCAGGAGATGTGATTACCTCTAAGCACGATTCTCTTTACGAAATTACAGACACCGCAATCCAAGCTCCCACTCAAACCACTCAACCCAATCCCCATCCCATCGCAGCCCTTTCTGCCTTGTTCTGCACACAATCTGAATTCGAATCAAAGTTTTTTGGAACAACAAACCATTTGCTGGCGATGTTTTACATACTGTTCGCCACCTCTGTGTCCCTCTCCTCCTTGGGGCTCACATTGTTTCGCATTCGGAAACTTTGCACTTCAATTTGTGGAACATGCATGCAAATAACGAGCGGCAGTCTGGAGAGGAACGGCCCTCCCCCCAGGATCAGGCTAGGGGTTGCCCCCACGCCCTACACTGCAGAAAGCAAAGGGCAGGCAGGTGTGCCTCGTTCGAGATTCGTGGTAGTCACAGTTGCAGACCTCTGTGGAAGAAGCCAATTCCCATTGATTTGGCGGCCTGGCACATGGGTCTGCTTTGCAGACGGTGTGGAGGGGAGATGGTTGATTAGATTCTTAGCTGGCGGGGCCCCTGATAAATGGCGGCTGTTTAAAATGTGTGTGTGTGCGTCTGGCAGTTGTATGATTTAAGAGTTCAAAGTTCAAGTGGTCCCTGGTCTGGTCGGGTCTGGTCTGGTATGGCCTGATCTGGGAGAGCAACAAGTGGGACTGTTTAAAAGGCCAAAAAAGTCTGCAGGATGGACTGGACGGGGACACATGATTAACATAGATTCAGGAATTGTTTCAGCACAAGGACAAGGGCAGGAACGAGGACTGTGATCCAACTAAGTAATGCCTTTCAATTTGGGAGTCTGCAAAATGTACTACCACTACGAGACGGTACCTTCATATTTCAACGGAACGGATCCCCGGGCACACATGCGAGCAAAAAGTTTTCCCCCTTCCCCCTTCCCCCATCCTCCCATCCTCCCACCCTCCCATTCTCCATTTCTTAGTTGATTTGCTGCTCTTTTTCTCTGTTTCTGCTTCTGCTTCTGTTTCTTTTGCTTTTTGTATTTGCTTTTGCTTTTACGAGGCAGCTGTCTAATGTAGCCGAAGAAAAAACAAAGAAAGGAACTCTGTGTTTCATGGAGATTTAACTTTCCCCTAATGAAGCAGCACCAGGAGCAGCAGCAACAAAAAACTCGGCAAACGAGAGGCAGGTCCCCATCATCGGCATCGTCATCGTCAGCTCCATTCCCATCCCCATCCCCATTCCCATCCCCAACGTCTCCTTCTCCTTGAGAGTCGCATATTTTAATAAAGTTTTGGCTTTATGAAACTTATGTTTGCATTTTGTTCTCCATAAATTAGAGGCAGGTGGTGCGCCCCTCCGCAGCCTCGAGTGACACCTGAGACCAATGAAATTTTATTACTTGACCCGGGGACTTGACTCCTCTAAGCCGTGCAGCGGAAAGTGTGCAAAGCATTTCACAAAAAAGGAGCCAAAGAGCACCTACTTTAATTGGGGGAAATGCGGTTGGCTGAGTGGAAATTAAAATATGACCATATGCGGAAACAAAGGGCCGGTCCGGTGCCAGGGCCAGTGCAAATCCAATTTTGAAGCCGCCCTTCGCTTCGCTAATTGCCGCGAAATACTCATGCATAAACTGCTGGCCCTACCGCAGAAATGCGGATTGGAGGATGGGAGCCGTGCATGCACCGTACTATGCACACATATATATATTAGAATATATATTTTAAAGGGCATCGTGGCGAGCCTCACGGTGGGTGCCAATAAGTTTGGGCCACTGCCGGCTTCTACTACACGCAACAGCAATTTGGCCTCGGGGGGAGGCAGGGATGGGACGGATGGACGCCCTGAATTGATTACATGACCCCGGTTAAGTGAATTTCCACTGTGCAGCGCGGTTTTCCCAATTTATCCATCACTTTAACAATGACAGGGTCCTGCCAACAGCCACCCAACCACCCAACGAACCATCAGGCATCAGGCATCAGCCAACGGCCAACTGCCAACAGCCAACAGGCAACAGCCAAATGACATGCACTTAAAAACAGCGGGACGCGCAACAAGATACGTTTCGTATGGAAAATGAAAATGGAAATTTTTTTAAACAGAGCCCACAGGCCGCCGCCGCGCCGGACAGTCGTTGTGGTCATCAATCAAAAAACGGAGTGCCATACTGCCACTCCGAGGCAGGGCTTGTATTTAGCCAAATATACATTTTCGCCCGCATTATAGTCTGTTGACAAACAAATTATCATTTGGGGGCCGCAGGGTGGGTGCCGGAGCCGGAGCCGGAGTCGGAGCCGGGCTTAGCGTTGATTAAATAGGGTCATCAGCAGGGCACTGGCACTGGCACTGGCACTGGTGTGGCACTGGCACTGGCAATGGCACTGGTAACGAGCGAGACTTGCAGATAGTTAATGATGCCCAGCTGGTCGGGATATTGCAGGATCCCCCTTGCTCCCCTCTCTTCTCGTAAGCTGGCCATAACGATTATGAATGTCGCCTCCGAAGGATACTGGCCCGGCCACTAGGTGTGGCCAAGTGCACGTCGGACCCCGACAGAGACCCTGAATGATTGATTGGACATTGATGCATTCTGTTTTTTCGGAGAGACGCCGTGGAATGCCATTCCGGGCAGCACATTAACCCATCAAAGTCGGCAAATCCGATCCGGCAGCAACTATTTTTGATGTGTTGCTTACTTAACGCATATTTCCGATCCCGATCCGGATCCGCATCCCAGCCAGCATCCAGCCGTCCAGCCGTCCAGCCAGCTGGTGTCTGGTGTGAAAGAGTGAAGTCGTTCGGCAACAAACAAAGAGCAACAAACATAGCCATTTCGGGGGCTGCACGTGCCGCACCAGTGCCTCAATCGTCTCCGTGAAGATTGTTTACGAATGGCCGTATGAAAACAGAGAGAAAGAGAAAGAAGGAGAGAGTGGACGAAGCGGAGGCCCAAAGAGGGCAGAGCGCAGGCGTTGAACCGGCTGGCTGGCTCTTAAGCAGCTCGGCAACACTGGCCGAGGCGCCTAGGCGGTTACATTTCGGATTTGGGCAACCGTTTTAACGGATTCCAAATGCAAATTTGCATGAAAATTCGGAGAATTTCACATGCAAGCTCTGACAAAGGAAAACCCTTTTAATCAGACCCTTTTTTCTTTCTCCGACATGCAACAAGCGGCATCAGCATCAGCACCAGCCCTTGGGGACTCTGGTGGGTGGCGGTGGCATGCCCCCCTCACTCTTCCACCAGTGGCTGTCTCACTGATACTAGCTGACACAGCCTCAGCGTTGAGCACTCCGTGCGGCAGTCAGTTCAACGGCAGACTCGCGCGCGAACAGTTCGAAAAGACGACGACGTCCGCTTCGCCTCGTTTTGCTTCGCGTTGTGTGGCAGTGTGGCAGGTCGAAAATGAAATGAAAATGTTGCGAAAATGCTGAGAAAATGCCGGCGGCATAGCCTGATCCGTATCGTAATTGAATTCGTGGCAGTGGATTTAAAATAAAATTGAATTTTGTGAAACACAAATAACCACGCAGCATCGGTATTGGCATCGGCATCGGCAGCAGCAGCAGCAGCGGCAACGGCATCGAATAGCAAAAACAATAAACTAGTCGTTAAACGTGAATATACAAATTGGTGTTTTGTTTAAAACTAATAGACATAAACAATAAGCACCGAATCGCAGATCTGCAGACCTGCAGATCCCCCGAAAAAGAGGGAATTTATTTTTAAATACAATTCCATTGTTTCCAGTGGGAGATATTGCTCATACGCCTCATTGGCATAGTCAAAGCAGAGACCAGAAGCTGTCGTTGTTCCCCTGGTAAGCTTTTCCCACCACTCATAATTGAATATTTTGCCAGCACATTTGCTCAGCACTCTACAGACCATGTTTATAGTTTTTCCCACATCCCACAGCCCACAGCCAGAAGCCAGTAAAAATTGGCAGTAACCGGCAGCCAGCGGCAAGCGGCTGAGCGGCAGAGCGGCAGAGCGGCGGCGGCTAAAAGTTTCTCGACATTTTTGCTTGGCAAATAATTAATTAAATGCTAACTATTACCTGAAACTGCCAACTACTAACTGCTGACAACTTTGTGTGGCGGCTGCTGGAGCCCCGTGCTCAACTTAATTATATTCCTGGCCTAATCAAGCGATTAAACCAAATTTTGAGGGCCTATTGGCAGGATTGTTTCAAGGGGTTCCACTCCAGGCGACGATTGAAGCATCATCGGGTTTCAGGATGCCATTCAAGCGAGAAATAGTTGCGCCAATAACCAGCAATTAATACGCTCAATTGGGTTTGCCTTTGGCCCACTTTAAGGGTCTATCTGCTGTCTGATCTCCTCGATCCTTTGGTTCCCCCTGCCGGATTGCTGCTAATTAATTTGCTCGGATTCCAATCAGTGCTCTTTTGGTGCATAATTGTGCGAGTAATTTAAGCGATTTTCCCCATCGAGATGCCGCCAGAGCGATAATAATTTTAATTAATAATTTACTCACATCTCTTGCCCCAGTCGGTGCACATCACATCAAGCTGGACTCTGAGGAAGGGCAAAGGTTCCCTTAATAGTTTTTACGCGTCACGAATCCCATAACTCGATCAGAGACGACTCTGCCCCAACTTGTGCTGCGTATAAATATTTAATGTCAACTATTATTAGACGGCAGCAGAGCATTATCTTTCGGGTTGCGGGCAGGGGCTCTGTGAGTGGAGTGCTTTGATGGATAAATGGTTCTAAATGGACGCATCCGCAGCTCGGATTCGGGCCGGAGCCTGGGAGTCGCACGAGCCGCTCCAAATGGTCAGCTGAGCAAACTGAAATCCTTTCAGCGCGAATCGTCCTCCCCCTCCATTCGCATTAGTGCGTATAAGCTGGAGGGGAGCATCCAAAGGCCATTAGTTGGACTGAGCCTGGAGCTTCGTAGTTGGCCCAAAACCAAACCAAAAACTGTCCTTAAAGGTTCAGACAGGCGTGAACGAACTTGGATCTTTAAACGAATCGAATCGAGACGAAACGAAACGAATGTGAATGCGAATGCGAATAAGTAAGAAGTAAGAAGTGAATGCCGTGAGTGCTGGTCCTGTCCTGCCACTGGCCTGTCCTCTTCACTGTGCTGTCATGCATCAAAACATTTAATTAAATTGAAACCGATGCGGCATCCGTACCAAGTCAAGGATGGGCGGTCCTGGTGGGTGTGGGGTGCACGAAGGAGTCTCCAGCTGGACATCAAGCTTACTTCCCTACGAGTATCGCATCTCCGCTCGGTATGAATTTAAATGAAGGCCATCCTAAACAACTCTGTGAATCATGTGCATATTTTAGCGGCTGGCCCTCACTTTACTGCGGAGTCTCTCTCTCTTCTGTAACTTCAGCAGCCCATGCACTGTCCACTATCCACTGTCCACTTCAATGGGAAGAGTCAGGGTGCGGATCGGGAAAGGGAGTTTCTCTGGGGGTCTTCCCATTAAAGACCTCGGGGCCGGTGCCGGTGCCGATTCCAGTGCCCGTGCCGCTGCCTGTCTTTTGTCGTCTGTCTCCGCTTTGTTCCTCAATTTACACATAATTGCAATAAATTGACTGAAGTGGGTGTCGGCGGAGGGGCGGGGCGAAGGGCGAACATTATTGTGGTCTGTAGTCTGATGTTCCCTCCCCCCTTCGTGGAGCAAGTGTGAAAGTGCAAGCGGCGATTTGCCTCGTCTGGCGTGTTGTTCGAGTCAATTTCGGTTTTGTATGCACGGCACACAAGTACCGTAATACCGGCGGGGAGCGGGTGCCTCTCCTGCCCGACCTCTGATAAGATAAGACATTGGAATAGCTTTGAAATGTTTCTTCGTTTCGGTTTTTGTGTGTACTTCTCACTCCCCCAGCCCCACTCACCTGGTAGCTTATGTTTATGCCCGGTGCTGGTAATTGGTAATGGTAATACCTAGAATGGCAATTGGCAATGGTACAACAGGTCGTATGAGTGCTGCGAACTATTCCTCCTCCCGTGCTGGTGCGGCTTTTGTGGCTTCGTTATGTGCTGGGGGATCCCATAATGCTTACGATATGAGCACAACTGGTCTCTGGTCTGGTCAATTTATGCAGAGGATGCCCGTGTTCACTCTCCTGCTCTTCCTTTCGTTGCTTGTGTCTTAAAGATACTCGGACTTAAAGCGAAATACTGCACGATACAAGGAAGCCACGTAGATAACGCAGGGACTTCGAGTCGGCCCCACGTTTCACGGCATCCGGCAGCTGATGAGCAGAAAAGCCTAATTGCCACAAAGAAGCACAAACGAGTGACCTTTGGAGTGCTGCTCCAGCCATACTTTTCAGGCACTTAACATTCCCCGTTCGAAGATTCAGATTCAATTTCAAATATTTCTACTGCAAACACGCAAACAATTGGCAGCGGAAAACGCTTCAGCAATTAAATTTGCAGAAACAGAAACAGAAGCAGCCAGCATCTTGTCCTGCCCCAACAGTGGGGCACACAATGTACGAGTATTTGCCCACGGCTCTTCATGGAAATCTCCATGTTTGTGTCTTTGTGTGGGTACTTTTATCACCCATCCCATGCCGATTTATTTATATATTAGATGTGTTTTTTTAATTTGTGTGAATGTTGTTGTTCTTGGGTTTGGTTGTTTTTGGATTTTGTTTTTCAAGGTGCGAAAGAAGAAATAAACTCGTAAATGAATTGCTTGCTAGGAGCGAGGCATGGGAGCACCGGCAGTATGAGGCACGGGGCATGGGGAGCATGGAGCTCATTAAACAATCATTTTGATGAATTCTGCTCCCACTGTTCGCTGCTGTAGAATCTGGCTCTGGATGAGCTGGAGGCTGGGGGCTGCAGGCTGGAGGCTGGTGGCTAGAGGCTGGAGGATGGAGGATGGGGGCGAATTTCGCCAATTTGCAGCCCCATAGACTCGTACTTTATGCTCATTTTATTTCGTAATTGTTGTTCCGTATATGGTTCCGTGAGTGGGTGCTTGTGGGGGGGAATTAAAAACGCTCGTTTAAGCCCGCTGAAAGGCGTTGGTAATTACGATTCAAGTTCGCTTCCATGTGGTTGGGGGTTGGGGCCAGGCTCAGACACAGAACCAACCAATGCGCCGGGTAATGCTGCTTATGGCGTTCCGTTTTATTGTGAGCTCTCCAGCTGTAGCTCTAGTCCCGGCCAAGTCGAAGGAGGGAGGGCCTTGTTCGGGTTTTTGTTTTATAATAAATTGTTTTAGAAATTCACTGCCTCGGCCTCGGCCTTGTCCTGGCTGGCAGGAAGTGAAAGTGTACTACATATACGCTATACGCTATATACTGTTTGCTGTATGCTGGCCGAAAGTAGACCGCCGAGTCGCCGTGGCAGGGGTAGCAGGTCCTAGGACAGCTCTTATTGACATACATATGTTGCGGCACATACTTACGCGTCCATGGAGACGCGCTATGGTTGCTGCTGCCACACCCTAAGTCCAAGACCAAGGCTTGGCCGGGCCCCCCACCCCGCCCTGTACTTGACTTGTCAAAGACACACAATAAAGAGGGAGAGAGGGAGGGGGAGAAGCTTTTATTCTCGGTCGTAATGAATGCCGAATGTGCTTTCCCTGCTCCTGGCTCAAATAAATATCTGCAGCGTTTTCCGAAGAACTAAAAGGTCGCGTAGGCCAAAGCCAAGTATCTCGTACTTTTCGAGCGTTATCAATATTTTTAGACTCTGATGCCCCTCGTCATTTCCCCTGTCACGGCAAGCTGGTCCGCGATTCAGGAGTACCCTCCTGGGGATATTTCCAGTGAAAGCCGATGTGTTGTAGCAGCCACTCGGCGGCTCCTCAACTATTTTAACCGCGTGCGAGCTGTGAGATAAAGATTTCGAAACAGAGAAAGAGAAAGAAATAGCAAAACAGTCCGAGGAGAAGCTGACAAAGAGCCAGACAAATTCATTTAAACTTTACAGCTCCCACAGCCACGGTCGTGGCACAACACAACGTGGCGTATACGTACTCCGGCCAGAGTGGAGTCCAGGCCCTGCCCAGAGCCCAGCCAGTGGCCTACTGTATCAGCACTTTTCAACGCTTTGTATCATGGAACGTGACAGTTTGGCCATTTTTCAAGTTCACTGAAATTCTAGGCACAAAAAATGCGAGTGTAATTTTTTGCGATTATTGAAAGAAAACGCAATTTGAACGGCCATCAGTCACAAAGGACCCGCCCAGTCCAGCCCAGAGCGTCCGCTGCCAGGCTGCCGGGCATTTCGCTATTTTGGCAAATATTTGTGCACATTGTACGGCTTACCCTTCCCCTACCCTGCTAGGCTTTTGGGGCTGGGGCTGGGGCTGGCGCTGGCGATGGTACTGGAACTGGGGGTCGTGGTCGCCCCATGTCCCACTCGGAGACTGCCGGAGCGATCTGCCAATTATAGCGGACATTCCTTTTGAAGATTGTTTACATTTCATTAAGAGTGCATCGTCGTTGCACCAGCCCCTAGGATGGCCCCAGCCCCTTCCCCTACCACTGCTCACTCCCTGGGAGAATTATTATTAATTTGTTTGTGGCATATGCTTTGTGTATTTAGTAATCATTTTCAGAGTAGACATATTGCCGGCAATTGATTTCTGGCCCGCCGTGCCGCGCCACGGCTTGGTGTTTGTTTAATAGCTGTCGATGATGCCTCTTCTGCTCTTCTTCTATTCCTCTCTTGGGCGTTGCAGCTGCAGGCTTTGTGGCTCGTACTCGTAGGTGTTGATTTTGAGTATTGACTGGACGCATGATGGACGGCTCTTTCCGTGTTTCCTTTGTTCTTTTGCTCTGGCAGTAAGTAGTTGCAGATTCTGTGCGGTGCTCTTCCAAACATAATGAAAATGCCTCAAAAATGAGTACAACTCAGGGCCCAGGGCTTCGTTGAACTTCAAGGGGCCCTCGGACAGCACTGCTCTTGCAATTACGAGTGTCTTGACCTGGCAGAGACATTCCTCTGTCATAATTGAAGGACAACCAGGCGAGTACTCAGGACAGACCATACACTTGTAAAGGAAACTTTTTTTTGCAGCTTTTGGACAGTATTTTGTAACAAAAATATAAGTGGCTTCAAAATAAGTTCTAGAGAAACGTGCTTTTCTATTAAAAAAGTTGGGGAGAGTGTGGAGTATGCAGAGTAAATTGAATTAAATCATTGAATAACCGAGCCAGATCTGTGGGGTTCCAGAGAAAGGATCCTTTTAAAAATGTGAAAGGTGAACGTACCTTGAAAAAAATACTTGTAGATGGAATTTAATCTGGCTCTGGGGATGCATTAGCTTCAGGAATGAATTACATTTATTGCCCCTCTGTTTGTTCAATACTGCGGCGACAATCCTCATCGCGAAACCGAATATCTGTCGGAACAACCTCCCATTCAATCAATAAAAACTCTCACCTGGAGCATGTCTAAGCCCCGAAAATGGCCTGTACTTTTAATAGTGGCCTCATCAACAGCTAAACATTTTGTGGTACTTTTTCCGCTTTGAGGAGAGTCGGTCCTAAGCCAGACAATTCAAAGAACTAGCAAACAAACCGCAAGAAACTTCTCTGGAAGGTCATGGGACAGGCCGCAAATGAGACAAGGAGGAGGATGAGGCCAGGGCAGGGCAGGGCAGGGGTGAGGGGCTTGGAAGTCAGGTCCACAAAGGAAAAGAATCGAAATCGATATTGAAAGCCTACGAGCACGTAGAGGGAGCCGAGCCTCGAAAAACTTTTGAATCAAATGAGTATCAAAAGATTACTTTCAAGCAACAAAGAAACAACAGAGGAAACGAAACAAATAGATTTTAAAATAAAATAAAATAAAAGAAAACATTTAAGAAATTAAGTGAAATTAAGTCTTGTGTCCTTTCAGGTTCCGAAGCTGGTAAATGGAAAACAAATAGGAGAACCGAAAAAAGGACACGCAACATTAGCTAAGCACACACATCACACACAGGATACAGGGTACAAAGAACAATACGTCCGGAGAATGATGGAAAGCCACAGCGGAGCCGGAACCGGGGTGGAGGACTCTCCGGACACTGAGATCAACTGGAGTAACTGGAGCACACCCGCCGTCATGCTGTACAACGCCATGAGCAGTGTCACGCCCGTCCCCGACTTCAGCCAGGACTTTGGTCTGCCCAGCAACGCCTACAATCTCAGCCAAACGTAAGTTGAGCCTTTGACCCCCCCTGCTAATGCCTAATTATGACACACAACTCAATTAATTCCCACACATGCGCCCCCCTCCCCCCACCGGAGGGAGGGGAAGCAAAGCCCATAAATTCGTGGAGCTCGTGCCTCTCCGCTTCGCCTCTGTACGAGTTTTACGAGTGCGAGTGCGAGTTCGAGTGCGAGTATGCATCTCTAATGATGCCTTCATTGCGCCATTCAATCATTCATTCAGACACATCCGCTTGCTCCCTCCAGTCCCAATCGCAGTCCCAATCGCAGTCTCCGTGCCAGGCTCTTTATTTCCGTTTCAAATACGCTGGAGAGGCACGCGGAAAGCAGAGACTCGTAGCATTCAGGAAAACATACTATACACAGAAGAGGAATAGGTTCCATACTTGATCCAGCCTTGGGCTGTTTGTCGGCTCGTCTCCCAGCAACGTCTCCAGGCTGCAAAAAAAACGCCGACAGTTCTTATGCATAGACCATGGCCTCCCCTCCCCCCACCAAATTACTGCAGTAAAATCCGCTGCAGACTCGACTCGACTCGGCTCGGGCTGTGGCTGTGGCTGTGGCATTCAGAGTCAGATAATTATTATGCCATGACTGCGTTTGACGCATCGAAAATACATTTTCCGAGTGGCTTTTCTGTGTTTTTTTGTCGTATTTTTTGAGACTCTGAGGCTCTGTCCTCAATCCTGTAATAACAGCCCCAAGTATCATTTGCTGTTTCTACTGCTGCCTATTCTTTGCCTTTTTCGAACTGCCTGTTTGTTTGCTTCTGATTCATGGGAAAATAAAGAAGGGAAAAACTAAACAAAAGCTGACCGCTTCAATAAAACGAAGCTCATATACCCTATCCTTTCCTACTAAGTTCCGAGGCTTCATTGTCCACGGAATCGAGTAGATTTGATTATGAAATTTTGATATTCCCATGGTATCATTGTATTATCAGTTTCTCTAAGCAAATAGTATACCCTTTGCCCTCTTTCAATGCGATATTTAAACCTCGAAAGCAGGCCCATCAACATTTCGTTTTGTCATTGTTTGCCATGGCATGAATTGCCGCCGGAGGCTGCATGAATGGGTCTCCCTTCTCGCTCTGCGTAGGCTTTTCTCCTTCCCTTCTGGAAACCCATAAAAACAAATCAATAATCCTCTTTGCAGCGGGCCCTTAAACAAATGGGAACTTATGTAGTAAATCCCCAGCAGTTCGTCATGTGAGGAAAGGGCTCTGCTCTGCCCCGCTCTGTAAAGTGAGAATTACTTATGTGAGCACTTTTTTAATTGCTCTGAAGAGCGAAAGCAAACTCTAATGACTCACCGGAGCTGGTGCTGGCCTGGTCCTGGTCGTGGTCCTGGCCTGGCCTGGCTTGACAGTTATGGGCCTTCTTCAACACAATACGTGCATATTAAATGACATCGCCAGGGCCCTCCCTCTCCGTCTTCCCGTTGTACAAAGATGTATATAGTATGTCCAATAAAGACCGACTAGCGGACTAGCGGACTAAAGGGCTATCGGGGGCTGCAGGACGGAGTTGAGTTGGCGCCACAGAAATCCTTTCCCTCCTGCGGCTGGTCCACGCTCCACGCGCCATGCTCCTGGGCCGTGCTCCATTTCCTTGCCGTCTATTCAAACACTTTCGTAGATGTGAACCTAAATAAACAAGCCGCCGAGGCACAGGCACACGAAATATTAAAAAGATGACGACAACAGCAGCAGCCGATGGGCTCCAGCACAGCTTCCCTGCCTACCTTCCTTCCTCTGCAGCTCCAGCACCCTCAATGTTTTATGTGGCAGACGGCGATGCAGAGAAACACGGATTTGTCAACGCACGCACAATTACACATGCTTAATAGCGACAACATCCTGGAATCCACGATCCTAGCACACACAAACCCCAGCCCGCACACTCATTCTCTTGGTTACATAGACACATCACATCACCGCCCACTTGGCAGTCGTTTAGGGCGAAGCGGTGGGACGACATGAAACATAACACACACTTAATCTCGATGTCACTAATTCCCCATTGTTCCTCCATCCTCCGTTCTCCGTGCTCCATGGCTCCATGGCTCCTCCCTCCCTCCCTCCAGTTTGCAGACTCCGACGGGCCTGCCATCCTCCGAGGCTCCCAACGGGGAAGGGAACGAGGCGGCGGCGGCAATGGAGACAGCCGGCTCGTTTGCATTCGTGATGCCCTGGTGGCGTCAGATCCTGTGGAGCATACTCTTTGGCGGCATGGTCATTGTGGCAACAGGCGGCAACCTAATTGTTGTATGGATTGTGATGACCACCAAGCGCATGCGAACAGTCACCAACTATTTCATAGGTGAGTACGTTGCGCTATGTTACGTTACGTGGCCAGGCACGTGGGCAAACATTGCGTATACGCAATGCAAATATCACGCATACGACTGCGGGTGTTTCCCTCTGGCCAAACACCGCAATCGACCCAAATCATTAACGCTCCCTCTTCATTACTGCAGCCCTTCATTCAACAGCACTGATTGTGTCGTTAATTATCTCTGCTTTTGTATTTTCATGATTCGCATTTGTATCTTTTTTGGTTAAATTTAATCTGTTTAAGCTGCAGCTGTACCCTAGGTCCAATTAGGTGCACTGCTCCTTGGGGGACATTACCTTTCAACGCTTCATTTAGGGCTAAGTGCCTGCAGGGGAACTTAAGAAAACTACCAAACATTTGGCCATGTTGAGGTGGGGGGCGGGGCAGCTATGATGTCATTAATTTTAATATCCTCTGCCTCGAGCCAGGCAGTACAATCAAGCCATCAAGTTTGCCTGTTAAGATTGCAATGGCCTTTAATAATTGAATCTCTCGTTCAGTCACGTCTCGGAGTGCATTTTGCAGTGTCAGGTGGCCCTTGGGATCCACAGGAATGTTCATTTTGAGTTGAGCGACAATTTTAATAATTCAAATGCCTGCTCTGACACACAAACTTTTTGACTCTTCGGAAGAGAAGTGTGTGTGTGTGTTTGTGTGTGTGTTTGTGTGTGCCAACTTTCTGCAGGAGTGCATAATCGTGATAACGACATTAAGAGCATTATGATGCAGTCAAGGATGCCTCCTGGGTGTCGGTAAACTTTCCTGATGGACATACACTATGCACACAATACACAATACACACTACACCCAGGCACAAATGTACATTCGATTGCACGCAGCATATCATACCATACTCGTACATATCTGCATATTGTACGCTGTAGGAGGCAGTGCAGTTGCAGGGTCGAAACCATTAGAGGGCTAGAAGACGGAAAAAGTGCACAAAAGCATGGCAAAAACAATGGCTAAGCCCCTCCCCCCTTGGCCTGCGTGTCCTCCCAGTCCCCCCAGTCCTCCCAGTCCTGTGTCCAAGATCAAAATCAAACAATGGAAAAGGCAAAGTGGATGCTCGGCCAGCCCCTGCTCCGGCTCGGGCCTGCCTCTGGCGTCTACCCCTAGCATCGGTAATCGGATGCCGGCTCTTTCAGTAATGATTATTATCATTATTATGTAAACTACGTAAATGCCCGTTGAGCTCGAAGGCTTTGGCAGGGCTTTCCATGATGAATTTGCATTTATAAATACTTACTTACACATCACATCGGCGCCAATCATTATTATTGCTAACAAGTTCTGACGTTTTAATCATTTCGGGAGCACGAAAATTGTACATTCACATCACAATCATTTGAAGCACCTCCAGAGGGCCATATTGTGGGCGGCTGTGGGGGCAGTGGGTGGCTGTGGGGGGCTGATAATCTTCTTTGGGTTCATTATCAATGCGTATTTGCATCTTTTGTTTGAGTTTGGCGAGCAGAAAAGAGTATTTGGAGCCACGCCAGAGTCGCCTGACTTTCCGACTGAAGGAAGACAATGCTTGAAAGTTGTGTAAATATTTATAGAAAAATTATAAGGAACGCCCAGCTGGCAGCTGCAAGCAGATTTTAATACTTAATTATTTGCCATTAATTAGTTTTTGGAACTGAGAGTATTTTCGGTGTAGTGTAGTCATGGAATTTTATCTGTCGGCGGATCGACGGAACGGGGCGGCATAGCTGAAAAGTTTCCTTTTGTTATTAATTAAAATGAGGCTGAATCGATATTTGGCTACGTGGCGTGGCCACAGGCCCCTCCCGGGTACCCACAACCAGAGGAGATCGAGTAGGGTAGGTCGTTTGTTCGAAATTCGAATGCGACACGTCGCGACGTGTCGTGGGCGGCAGAGAGAAGAATAGCTAGAAAATGGAACATGGAAGGTGGAACTTGGAGGGTGGAACATGGAACATGGAACATGGAACATGGAACACGGGGCTAATGTTCAGCAGAGAACATTTGTTTTATTGTTTGTGCTGTTGTTCTTCGTGTGTTCTTTGTCGCCTTATCTTCGGGGAGATAATGAAAAGTAAACAAAGGCGAAGACACTTTCCCTTTCTTCGTTTTTCCTATCACTTTCTGCTGTTCTGTGGCCGCTGTGACTGCTGATTCATTAGCATGTGAATCGTTACACGGCATGCAAATGGAACACAATAAAAAGTATATCAAGCAATGAATGATGGACCCAACGGATGCGAATGCGGATGCGGATGCGGATACGGATGGACATGGACCCTTGATTGCCATTCAGCTGTCAGGCAAACAAATATGGCTGGCTCCCACTCAAGGGGAACTGGCAGTAAAGGTGAAAGTGCACTTTATGCCCCACTAATTACAAATGTACAACGCATAAATAACGACCAAAGGTGTGTCCTTCCTGGCTCCAGCCCCCTGCAATTAGAAATGTTCTTTGTCGTTCCTTTTTTGTTTTTTTTCCTTGTCCCATAACTTGCTTAGGCAGAGTTTCTGATTTGGCTCTTTTCGGTGCTTCCATTTCCGCCAGTGAATCTCTCCATTGCGGACGCGATGGTCTCGAGTCTGAACGTAACCTTCAACTACTACTACATGCTGGACAGCGACTGGCCCTTCGGCGAGCTCTACTGCAAAATCTCGCAGTTCATCGCCATGCTGAGCATCTGCGCCTCGGTCTTCACCCTCATGGCCATCTCCATCGACAGGTGAGTGGATACCCAAACAAAAACCCATACCCATGCCCCTACCCCCCCGACATGCCGACAAAGGACGGCAACTTATGAATACTTCAGGGGACGCGCTTCATCCCAGACAGACCCATATCAATCACGACTTCAAGTGCTCTAAATATGATAGATTTCCGTCTGAGAGCCGATGTATGTCTGTCTATTTGCATATAACCTATTCAGTTCAGGGAGATTTTTCCTGCCAGCATAAACGATTGCCTGTCAAAAAAGGCAAATCCCAAACAAAACGGAATCCAGAGAAATTAATCTATTGGAAAATCCATTGGAGGCATCCCCATTCGTATTGATCTAATAGAGCTGTATGGCAACCAATTATTTAGAGCCTATTACTCGTTACTTGTTGTAGATTGTTGTTGTATCCTAGTCCGCATCCGCACTTAATGGTCCTTGATCTGATGAGGAGCCTCCACATTCCACATTGCAGCCCGAAAAGTGAAGGGATTAATTTAATTTTGTGTTGGGGCCTGCCGCTAAATTGCATTTTACGGAGTTTTTTCGGGGTCTGTAATCAGCTTACGGCTTCCGGGTCGCTCGTTCGCTGCCAAAAGTTTCAGAATGGATAGGGGAGGATGTTCAGGGACGTGTTCCCCCTTTTATTGTATTAAAAATGGCGCTCCACTGCATTGCTTTTGTTTTTTTCCTCCAGATACGTGGCCATTATGCGGCCGCTGCAGCCCCGGATGAGCAAGCGATGCAATTTGGCCATTGCAGCGGTCATCTGGCTGGCCTCCACACTCATCTCCTGCCCCATGATGATCTTCTACAAGACCGAGGAGGTGCCTGTCAAGGGCCAGAGCCCACGGACTGTCTGCTACCCGGAATGGCCGGACGGTCAGACCAACCATTCCATGCTGGAGTACATGTGAGTATTCCATCAAGAAATCAATCCAGGTAGAGACACAGGAAACAAGGGGGAGTCCCCATCACTGAGGGAAAATTTACGAGCATAGGGGCTTTTCAGTGACATGTTTCCCTCAATCCCACAATCCCACAATCCCACGGGGGAACACACAAGTCAAGAACAGTACTGGACTGGACAGGGTACATAGCTCTTCCCGAAACGAAGGTGCATGGACGGCAATCAGAGACTGCAACATTGGATCTCCGGATGGCATCCGCGGATAGGAGATAGAAGTCGTAAAAGCGGACATTTCGAATGTCAGTTTCGCAGTGAGTTGACAAACGAAACAGCCAAAACCCGAGGCAACCAGCCAACCCACCAACTGACATAAAAAACAGGCGACATAGAGGCGGAACAGAGTTCGGGCTAACAGGATGGAGCACAGGGGGAGGGGGGCATATGAAACGTGTTGCTTTTTACAGCCATTTTGTACGGCAATTTGGTTGAAGCGCTCACTGTATCCTGTCGGTGTGTCCTGTGTGTGCTGTGTGTCCTGTGTGTCCTGTCTGTCCCACATGCAAGGCCATTAATTTTAGATTCACTCCAAATTGCTACTTACTCAATAAACCAACTCATAACAACAATGTACCATAGACCCATAGATACTAAACGGCATAAAAGCATTGCCTGACCAATTTAAAGGATTGTAACCACTATCTGTGTGACTTCTGCTCTGCTCCTTCGTTTAGCTACAACATACTCATCATGATACTCACCTACATTCTGCCCATTGTGTCCATGACGGTCACCTACTCTCGCGTGGGCATCGAGCTGTGGGGCTCCAAGACCATCGGCGAGTGCACGCCCAGGCAAACGGAAAACGTCCGCAGCAAACGGCGGGTGAGAGCTATGAATTATGAATCCTTGTGTACTTAATATTAAACTTAGCTTCTATCAGTTGATTTTGCATTTATTTGGAGCTTCTTTAAGTGGCACAGCATATATATTTACTCATTTTCTGCTTAGGTGGTGAAAATGATGATTGTGGTCGTGCTGATATTCGCCATTTGCTGGCTGCCCTTCCACAGCTACTTCATCGTCACGTCCTGCTACCCGGCCATCACCGAGGCGCCCTTCATCCAGGAACTTTATTTGGCCATATACTGGCTGGCCATGAGCAACTCCATGTATAATCCCATTATTTACTGCTGGATGAATTCGCGGTGAGTACGCTGCGGCACCACAAATTATGTCATTTGCAGTTGAATTCGCATCAGGACGGGGCCCTCAGCTAAGTTTCTTTTGGGGGGCATCCCAGCAAGGGAGCCGCCGACAGATAAGTTGATTGGTTGGCTCTCGATTTTGCCCTGCTTGAAATTAAGTACAGTACTTGCTGTGCTGGCAGTCTGTACATTCTGTACAGCCCTGCTGGCGTCAATGAACCCCAATGCACGCTTCCAATAAACATAGTTTGCTAATCCACGACACCGAACCGATGGATATTCATATCCCAACGAAAAATAACACAAAATGTCAACGCGGATGTGTACAAATTGACTGTTGGCTGTTCACGCGCCAGTGTCCGTGTCCGGGTCCGTATCCGTGTGCGTATCCGGGAAAACGTAACGATTGCAATTAATTTCGCTCAGTCAGCGGATATCTGACTATGGGTGGAGTGGTTCGATGTCCTGAAAAGGGGACAGGGAAGGGCCAGGACCGCAGCCAGAGCCAGTCCATTGACGGAGCCCCTTATGCAAATGACAGAGGACAAGGACAGTGGAGGTGTTTGTTAATTTATACGGCGGTACGCGCTACTCATAGGGTCTATAAATTGTAATCTAAAGAGCTCGCGAGTAACCTGTCGCTCGATCTACTGGAGCGACGACGAACGCTAGAACGCTAGAACGGAAGCGGAAATAGATAATCGAGGAGCCCCGCCACGCCCTGCGCATAAAATTGAGTTTTATTTACATTCCGTTTTGTAGGTATTCTGCAGGTTCCAGCTTGTAGTGTATATTTTCACTGTCTTTGCAGCTTTCGGTACGGGTTCAAGATGGTCTTTCGTTGGTGCCTGTTTGTGCGGGTGGGCGCGGACTCCCTCAACCGAAGGGATAACCTGACTTCGCGGTACTCCTGCTCCGGCTCGCCAGATCACAATCGCATCAAGCGCAATGGTAAGCATTCGGAGGGCGGCCAAGAGCCTAATGGCAGGGCTAATGAGTTCCATATGTCGATAGATACACAGAAGTCGATACTTTACACCTGCCCCAGCTCACCGAAGTCGCATCGAATTTCCCATTGTGGTGAGAGAAGCGCCCTCTCATGGTTTTCGATGAGCGCCCACGACTTAATTATGTTCTTTACTCATTTGCTCCCAGGAGTTCTCCGCAATGCGCCGCTGCGATCCAGCCAGCAGCATGAGGTCCTGCACCGCCACTCGGCGCCAGCGGAGCACCTGAGCCTGAGCCACACCAACAGCAACAGCAACAGGAAGCGAATGCCATACCAGCAGGAGCTGCAGCACCGCTGGACCGGACAGAGCAGTGGTGCCTCTAATACCAGCAGTTCCGCCTTGGCAATGGAAGGTCAGACCACTCAGCTGCTCTCCTGACAGCCGGTTGGCCTGACCCCGACGAACCCGACAAACCCGACGATGCCGATGGAAAGCGTTGAGATGCAGATGCAGACACAGATAGTCTCCTCATCGCCCTACAACAATAACTATAGAGGCGCCAACCTGGGAGGCCGGACTGGGCCAGGGACAGGGTCAGGGAATGGCAATGATGCAGCCGATGACAAAACCTGGCTATAAGCTTACTTTATTTAGGTCTCGAATTTATACTTTTAGCAGGTCAAAGCCAAACAGAAATATTGTATATCCTCCTTATACATACCACAGACAGTACCACAATATAACCCCAGCACTGCGACCGCCCATTGCACATATCATACGTAAATCGGTGGATTTTCATTTAACAGCACTACTTAAAAAAAGCTCTTTTGAAATCTGAAGACTATTTCATCAGCAGGAAGGATACATCAAACTAAAGAGTCGAAAAAGTAAGAGTCCCCATATTTTGTTTGTTTTTAAGGTGTAAATACTGTACTGGTTCCTCGAGTTTCCATTTCACTCGTCCCAATTCCAATTCCAATCCAGTCTAATCGCAATCCCAATCCCATCAATCCGCTTTAAGCTGCCGTCTTAAGCTGTACAAAATATGTAATGAAGTAATCAACCTACGAGTGCGAGTACGAGTGCGTGTTCGAGTGCGAGTACGAGTACGAGTACGAGTGCGAGTATGTTCATGTAAATATAAATGTCTGAATGTAAACCTCTTTGCGAATAAAACGACTTGCTATTTATGAAATATTAAAAGCGTTTGATTCCGTTTTGTTTTGTGGTGCAAACATTTTAAACTGCCAACAGCTTTAAGAGGAGAGGAGTCCTCTATGCTTAGCCTCAGCCTCAGCCTCATTCTCATTCCTTGTTTATTTAAGTATTCCATCTATATTATATACGAGTATTTTTGGTGTGTGGAATCTTTGGGAGAGTTGGGAGGCCTGGCCTAGAGTTGGAAACCCATCTGACAAATGTACAAAGTCCCCAGTGAGTGTGCAATACGAGTACATATGTATTTAAATATGAATAATCCGACTGCCAAGGGCGGTCCTTTCCCTCCCCTTACCGTTTCCTTCCCCTTTCTGCATCAGTGTCAAAACATATTTGAAATATGTTGAATATGTACATATCTACGTAGGGTGCGGTGCCTTCGAATGTTTATTCGTAGAACTCCCTTCGAGCAACAGCTATGCTATCTATGCTGCTTGCTGGCGTATCAATTTTTGATAAGTAACCATTTTAGGAGAAATTGCATTTGATTTTTGTATTTTATTTATGTGTGCTTTATGTGTGCGCACCACTTGAACGCCCGCCAATCCTCCCGTGTATATGGCTCATAGCATGTGTTGTTAATTTTCCACTGTTTCAATCTTATAAGCTATGAATAATTCGTTGTGTTTCCATTTTCCATTCTCCGTTGCGTGTATGTCCTTTTTGCAATAATCGTCGCAAATCCCGCAGTGACGTGCCTTCAAATCACCCGAGGCCTGTTTTAGTAATATTGGATTCAGCGGAAGTCACATGAAATTGTGCTTTGGCCAGATTTGTGCATAAATACTTACATGCCATTCCATTCCATTTTATTCCGCATGTGAACAAACATTCAGGACACTCGTAAATGGAAGCCAGAGCCAGAGCCATAGCCAGAGCCGTAGCCAGAGCCGTAGCCAGAGCTCTTATGGCAGCACTTCCTCGAAGAACCCCCACGTATCCTTCACTAAGTAGAAGGCGAAGCTGCCATAATGCATTAGTTGGTGGCCCTCAACGAATACCAATGCGTATGGTATACAAATGGTTGTAGAAGTAATGCTGTTTAAGCTCATTTCAATTTCACTGCACAAAAAGCATTTTAAATGCAGGTCATTAGGCCTGCCTGTCCGCCTGCCTGTCGCATTCGAATGGAAATCGGTTGCATCTATTGAATTTCATTAATGCATAGGCATAGCTGTTGAAGGATGCATTTTAATTGGACAGCAAATGGTTCTGAAAGGGACTACTAAATTATATGAAAGCCCACTTTTAGGAGCAGAACACAGTGCTCTTATACACACATTGTACATGCTTATGAATACCTCTACGACTGAGAACCGGACACAATAGGAGCCAAGTTTAGGGCAAGAAACGGGGGAGTCGTAAAATGCACACCTTTTATAAACATTAAACAATAGAAGGAAGGCATTTCAGTTCGTGTGTGCGAGTGTCTCGGTGCGGCGGTAGCTGTGGCTGTGGCTGTGCCTCCTCCCGGGACATGTCAAACACATAAAGAAGGTCAACCTGGGGCGTCAATAAGCGCCTTGTGCAGGCACCGAGCAACCAGCAACCGGTGTGTGGGGGCTGCTTGCGGCTGCGGTACGCCAGCCCCAGCCATAATTGAATCCTCAGTTTGTGCACTGACTCGCTGCTGAGCCAAGAAGCCACAACCACAGCCAAGCAGCCCAGCAGCCCAGCAGCCAGGCAGCGAAAGCGGAAAAAGGCGAACCGTTCCAATCGGCGGCTTTTGTGGACGTCAAGTACATTTTTACAAATTTCTGCTACTTGCATTGTTTTGGTCTAGATCGATTTATCTGTCCGCGCCATTAAAATGCATCCAAGTTCGAGCTGCAGTTCACTGGCGGAATGCCTGCACATAGTTTAAAGTTTTAGGTTTGTGGGTGGCTCCTAACCAAAATACAATTTATTAAATTGCATTTTGCGGAGCGAACTTTTGGCGCTTTAGCCAATGGGAGGGCTACCATCTTAAAGCTTGTTTATTACACTGCTTGGTTTTCCTATTTTTATTTCAAAAAGGTAACAAAAATTGTCTTTTGTTTTTGGCATAAAATATCGTACACATCAATTAAAACATAACTGGAGTTAGTCACGAGACTTCCTCCCTCCTAAATATACTTGGCTACTGTGAGGCCTGCATCCGACCGACTACCTTCAAGTAGTGGATCAGATGCCTGCCGTAGTTGGGTTGGATGTAGAATATACACTGCGTTTGGCGTTTCAAGTGGTAGTCCATCTCGTGTTCATTTAGCTGGAAAATATCGCTCAGCGAGTCGTTGGCTATCGTGTGCAGTCGAGAGGTATTCAAGAACTTCATGATCCGCTCATTGGTGTAGTTTATTTGCTGGAATTAAGACAAAGTTAATGCCCATACCGTTTTGAGCTGATTTGATTCCACTTACCCCTTCAAAGTCCTCCATCTGCTCTGGCTTGAGGCTCAAGTAAAACTTTGTGGGATCGTCGCGATCCTCTGCAACAGCCACCTTGCTCACTGCAGAGGCAAAGGTCAGATTATCGTTGTCCGACTCCATGATTGCCAGCACCGAAGTGGTCAGGAAGAGCAGAGCCGGGCGCAGCTGATCCCTGGCGAGCAGCGTGATCTCGCAGAAGAACAATATCTGAGCGCGGCGCAGCTCTTCTGGAAGATTGCTCCAGATGCGATACGAGCCGGGGTGCAGTGCCATGTTCCGAGAAACGCTGGGCTCCACCTGTTGCGGCATGGCGTTGAAGCCCACCGTGTGGAGAACGCCTTGCCCAGTGAGGGCCAGCATTTCGGCAGCTCCACTGATGGGTTTCGTGAAGGCTCCCACAATGCCCTTGGTAAGACCCGCAATGACACCCACAGAGCTCCGGGCTTCGAGGGTGTGATGTGCAAGTCCTCCCACGGCGCCCAGCAGACTGATGCCCAGGCCAGTCAGGCCTTGCGTGAGGCCATCGGCAAAGCCCTGGGGTCGGGCTCGTCGTCGGGCTTCCGTCAGTTCGATGTGTTCTGCGTCCAGAGTGAGCCTGTCCAGATTCCGTGCCACTGAACCGGCCAGCTTAGTAACCGAATTGACCGTGCCCGCCGTTACGTTACGCAGCAGAGAGGCAGAACCCTGTGTCACGCCCACCATAAAGCCCCAGGGCCCTCGAAACAGCCCCTGCACAGGCATCGAGATGAAGTCTCGGAGACCGGTGCTGAAGGAGCGAGCTAGCCCGCTGGGGCTTCCCAGAATCTCGAGGGAACCCACCACCCAGCCGGCTCCGAAAATAGCTCCACTGAGATAGTGCAGCCCCAAGGACTGTCCGAAGCGTAGGGGAACTGTAAGGATCTGCTGGCGCTCGTAGCGGGAGAAGGAGAGTGGAGAGTGGTCCAGGGCTATGTAAAGTCTGGAGGATGTGTGGACAGAAAGGAGCAGGCTGAGGGGCTCCACGGTGAAGCTGTTCAGGCGAAACGGCTCGGCTATATACAATGACTGCGCTACGACGTGGTCGGGCAAGAGGATTTGCCCATCGGGCAGCAAGCTCCTGTCTTGCTCCTCGCGGGGCGTGTGCACACAATGGGATGGCTCACATTCCACCAGTGTCTCCAGCAACTGATTCAGATAGGCATCCTCAATGTAGACACGAAACGGCTGTACATGACACCGCACAGACTGCAGCTGCCATTCGTCCTGGTACAAGTAAAACGTAAGCAGGGAGACTGGGCCACTCTGGGCCTGCTGCTTGTACATATCATCCAGGTCGTATACCGGCGGCAGGCCATTGTGACGCTCGTACAATTGCTCAGCACAGAGCAGAACAGGGAAATCGTATTTCCCGCTGGAGTACAACTGATTATCCACCTGCAGATTCGGCCACTGCAAGCGCAGCACTCGCTGATCTTCGTCGTCGTCGTAGGCCAGCATGGAGTCGTCTGCATAGACATTACACACCTCCGTCTTTAAGTAGTCCTTCTCCCGACTGTCCGTCTGGAGGCTGAACACAAAGCGCTTCACGAATATTCGTATCTTGATCTGTGGCGGGGACTCGCATTCCTCGCTAAAATGGGCACAGCCCACAATGTCCGGCAATGGATCGCTGGCATCAGTAGCCGTAGCTGACGCCGTAGCAGTAACAGTCTCGATCTCGTCCAACTGTCTTTCCGAATCCTGCTCTGAGGGCAGCAAACGATTCTCTGGTTTTGTCAACCGTGAGCGTAGATCCTTCACAGAAAACTCCAGCTGCTGGGTTATGTAGTAGATGTTGACGCGTATGACGCGATGCTTATCACAGACGACCACCTTCACTTCGCCATGATTCGGCACATGCAAGAACTTCTTCCACGACTTGTCGGTCCTTATGGGCTTTGACCAGCCGAGTTTCTTCTTGCCACAGGACTTTTCTGAAAGCAGGAACCTCTTTTAGATGTATTGCACTTTTGAGTGAGAGTAAAACCCACCATTATATACAGCTAACGACAGATTACACATGGTAAACTCCACATCGGGAAAGTTGGCGTACATCTGCGGCGGGGTGTAGTAACATTTACTGTTCGGCGAGACCAACTGATTCCATTCAAAATGCCTCCCAACGAACTCGGAGTTTGTGCAAGTCACATTGCTGTTGCCGGAGGCACTCGTCTGGGCCACAATGAACTTCACATTCGTGCTGTTGCTGATGATCAGTGCCGGGGCCGTATCGCGGAATATATTCAGATAATGGACATTGTCCTTCTCAATGAGAGTGATCATGAATGGCACCGATTCCCGTCCAGACTGCAGGCTGAAGCAGCGTCTCGTGAAGGGTATGGCCAGGGGAATGGGTATAGATATGTCGCGACTACCAGCCACACTGAAGCACAGAAAGTAGACGAAAGCCGTATCACAGGTATGATTAGCCGCATGGGCATTAAGATCGTAGAAAACGTCCATCGTCACTCCAACGCTGCTGGGCGGGAAGAGAAGAGAACATAAATAAGTAATTCGGTACATAGACCGGATCTCTCACCAATTCTTTGCCCCATCCACAGATACGAGACTGCGACTCTTGTTGGCCATGCTGAACGCATTCACTTCCTCCCTTGTGGAGGTCTCCTTGTGATCCATGGTCAAGGGCAGGGCATTCAGAGAGACATCTGTGAAATTGGTGATTACGAATTTGGAGCGCAGCTTAAATACACGGCGCCCATCCTCCAGCCTATACTCCAGCATCATTCGCAGCACCTCCTCGTTTCGCACCACCACGATGTCCACAAAGGAATTACAGCGGAGCATCATGCTCCGCTTGGGGCTGTTCTCCACTGTCTTGGTCTGTTCCTCCAGGTAAATGGGCGTCGAGGCGATCCAATTGCAGCCAAAAGGCACATCAATTGTGAACAGACCGCACAATTTGGGCACCATTTCCAGACAGTTGGCGTTCAGTTGATGGCGCTCGCGGTCCCTGGTCTGGCAGATGCTCAGGTCCAGACCGGTGGCATTGATGAGCGTTCCCCAGGCAGAAACCTCCAATCCCAAAGTGCAGGAAAAGTCCCGCGTGGCCTTTAAGCGGTATTCCACATCGAATGCGTTGGTCAGTGACACACGGCGAAGCACGCGCGATTCCTCATCGTCGCTCAGCGGCCACTTGGGCTTCACCGTCTTCCCCAGCTTGTGCAGCGAGTTCTCAATCGTCCACTGAGCGGGATCGAAGTAAAAGAACTTGTGCCAGTCCATGGTCTTGAGCATGAGTGTATAATCCTCCTGGGAGGTGCTGCACAAGGGAGCCCTGGAACAAAATGCATTTAGAGATACCCGTGCGACAGGATGTGTGATAACCTACGGAAACTGAAAGCCAACGCGATGCTCTGTGCTGTGCGTGGTAGCCGTCTGCAGAGACATCCTTCCGCCATGGGCTGTGATCTTGGAGCTCTGCCCACTCGTACTTTCTGTGGCCTGAAGATCGTCGATCAGCATGTTGCATATCTCGAAGATGGGCCAAATGCAAATCAATATCTTTTGCGGATGAAAGTCCGGTTCGGCTGAGTCCAAAACCACATCCTCGCGCAGGATGCGCACCCACACGCTGACAAACTGCTGGACGGGGTTTTGCATGGGCACCTTGACCAGCCAAGGCAGATTATTGTTAGTTTTTAAAGGAATATCTCCAGTGCGTCCTTTGCCGAGACCAGCCGCTAACTTAAGACTGCGGAATGAAGTAATCCAGATAATCCAGTCAAAAGTGCGAGAATAAATTGGCATGTTCTTACCGCAAGTTAATGTCTCCATTACGCACCACCGTATGATAGAAGGATGCCCTTCCCCTGGCCAAAAGCAGGTGCTCGTGTGGTCTCGTATTCTCGTCGTAGCGTTTTCCCTCTTGGCGGAATTCGGTGATCAATTCAAAGGGCACCATGCTGATCAGCTCAATCTGGCCCTTCACCAGTATATAGATCTGCGTGGCGGACAGTTTTCCCACCTTGATTGTGATGCAACACTTTCCCACCCGCAGATGACGCACTCTCTGCTCCTCCTCGAATTTCAGGGCTATGGGCACCGAGCTGCTGGCCTCCATCTGCTTGGTCTCTGGATTCCGAATGAAGAACGTGAGCTCTTGCCCTTGCGAAAAGCTGCGGAACTGGTAGAGCTGCAGCTCATGGGGTGCCAGGGATATTTGCTCGTTCGTGCCCGTCTGCCCGAAGCTTAGGCCCGCCTGCATGCGGTTGACCACCACGCACTTGGGCATTAAAGTGTGACGGATCTCGCTCTGGCGCAGCACTTCCAGCCAGTGATGCTTGGAGCTGAGCAGAGTGTGGATCATGTAGGGACCGCAGTTGAAGCGGAGCTTGTCCAGCAGAAAGTTCGCTTTCAGCGAGCGCGGAGAGTGGGTGAACATCGCGTAGCTGGAGAATTTCATAGGCTCCACGATGTCCAGCATGTTGAGGAAGCCATAGTCCAAGCACTTCACGCGCGCGCGGAAGTCCGTCTCCAGACTGAAGTCATTCCTGGCATAGACAGCCGAGTGTACCTGCAGATCTCCCACGTGCACTGTGAGAAAGGTCTGTGGGGAGTCTATTGACCGCTTGGGGGAGTATTCTTTCAAAAGCGAAGGCAGTTCCCCCTTGCCATCCGGCTGATTCAGAAGGTTTACTTCCATGTCCTGGCAACAGAGCAGCAGCTGCAGCCTGGGCACTGTCTCTGCCCTGAAGATGGTATCGATGCGCATGCAGCCCACAAGAACCTTTGGATGCAATATGAAATCGTTGTCTGCATCGGTCTTAAAGGCCTGCTCAATGCGACTGCTGTCGATCTGTAGAATAATAGAATAATAATGTCATTGTTTCAATTAGAAACATTACGCACAGAATGGAAATCTTCATCCTCATCTCCTTCAAAGCAGGTGCCATCGACAGAAATCAGCGACTGCAGAATGACCACTCTCCAGATGTTCGCACAGATCTGACGATCTTGTGGGGATAGCTGCTTGGTGGCCGTCTCCGACAGCTGGAAGTCGCAGTAGTGCAGAAAAGTCTCGTGCGTTTCACTGAAGTACTCCATGCTGCACTTGATGTGTATGGGGTTTGAGACCTTTAAGGAGAAATCAATTGACTAGACTGCCGGAAGCAGAGTGGATCTCAGAGCGCGCAACTTACTGGCATGGGAATCGGATAGATGTGGATGCTGGTCATCTGGCGTGGCTGTGGATAGCGCCAGCAGATAATCCCGTAGTTCTTCTTGATGATCTGCACCTGGTAGGGCATAGGCAGCACGGACTCGGAGTTCAAGTAGACAAATTGGAAGGCGCCCGCCCTGAGGTCGTCCTGATAGAATTCTGCTTTAGTTTTCAGCGAGCGTTTGCAGCGCCCGATCGAGTCGATCGATGGATTGCACTTGATCAGCGCTCCGGGTGCAATCTCTGCTGGAGTGCCCATTGCCGGACGATGTTCCAGAAAGCCCTGCCACTCCTGATGGGCATACTCAAGGATCCGGCCGAGACCTTCATGTGCCTTTTGCAGTTGCAGAATACTCCAAACACTCGCATCGACGTGCAGAAAGTGTAGCTTGAGAGTGGCGTTGATCAAGAGATCGTCACACCATGGCTCGCTGACCAGATCCACGGACAAACGCATCAACAGGGGATGCAGGAAGATCTTCTCGCCAGCCTGGATGTAGAAGGAGCCCATCGTCGATCTAATGACGGCCTTCTGGGGACGCGGATTGAACTTGATGCTGGTGCTAAAGTCCAGCCAAACGGAGCTGCATTTGTAGGACCGTTCCTCGTCGCAGAGCGTGATGGTGACCTGATCAAAGGACAGATTCAATCGGTCCGCATTGTAGCAGTGGTTCTTCATCTGCCGCAACTGTGTGCCCTGGACCACAGGCCGCTCGCTGCGCACCGCGAAGCAGGGAGTCTCGAGGAGCACGTTGTAAATGCGGATGACATTGTTGACCAGTTGCTGGATGCTCGTCTCGCACAGGCGCAGCACTATGGGCTTGCGCACCTCCACATCCACTTCGGTTTGATGGATGCGATCGCACTGGGACCGCACAGTGAGCAGCGGTGGGGGAATCCCCGAACTGCTGAGAGTACCTGGCAGGGTGTCAAACACAGACTCATTGAAGGGGTCCACCGAAGGGTCCGTACCAGGAGTGGCCACAGTTACGTTTAGATTGAAAATGGATGCCTGCGTGATGGTTGCCTTCAGACTTTGGGTGCACATATAGCTGGGCTGCGAGACTGTCAACAGAATGAGCGGCTTCATCACTGGCTGCTCCAGTTCCTCCAGCTCCAGGACTTCGTAGATCTTTAGCACAAATATCCCAGCCACAAAGGAGACACTTTGCGGGTAGCGTACGCCACTCGGTTGCAGCTCCTCCTGCGATTTCTGAGTTCCCTTTACACGACCCCCTCCCACGTGTATTCCGGAATCACTTTGGCAGGAGCCCACAAAGACTTCGCTGCTGCTCCTGGCATCCACGAAACTGGAACGACTTCGCTTGGCGCTGGACCGGCCCGAATGGCCAGAGTGTCTTAGCCGACTGCTCTTGGCCGAAATGTCCACGGGGGTGCACGTGATGCTGTGCGTTGACTGTGATGACAGCTCCGTCAGCGAAGGCGACTCTTTGGCATACATCTGATCGAGGACACTGTACAAACGCTGGAAGCGCACTAGGATGCAGGATATCAGATTGATTTGGTGTGTGGTCAGAGTGGCCACAAAGTCCGTCACACAGTTGTACTCCACACTCTGGCCGCAGACGAAAAACCGATCGTAGATAATGGCCGGGGCATAGACCATGATGAAGTCGAAGTCCCTGAATATATCCATGTGGTCCAGCTCAGTGGGACGTGTCTGGTTGTTCCACTCGAAGGCCGGATTGTTGTGCTCACTGGCCAGACTCTTTTCCATGTGATACTTTTGGGTCTGCAGCCAGTTCCCAGTGGACAGGGATACATTTCTGACGCTCAGCTCGTACTGACGATCCTCGACCAGGGCTCCGGGGGTGCTCAGCATGTTCAGTTCGGCGGCCTTCTGGTAGATGTCCTGGCGAACCAGTTGCCGCACTAAAGGATTCTCCAGGCTAGGCGTTAGCTGCACAGTCTCAATCTACGACAAGAAACAAAGGAATGTGGTTAGATCGCTTAAGGATCGATGGTATGAGTGTCGTGAATAGAGACGGTCGTGTTTAGGTGGCGCTCCTGCTCCTGCTCGATTGATGATCAAAAGATGATCAAAACTCTTACCCTTAGCAACAAGACACTGCAGCACTTTCTGCCCGTGGCCAATGGCAGGTAGATATAGATTCCTTTGCTGTTCAGATGCACCATGGGCAAGTCCTGAACGGTGGTTAAGCGGCTCTCAATAGCTGGTGCCTGATGATTGCCCCTCATTATTTCTATCACTCCGCACAGGGGAATCACAAAGTCTGTGATTTGATCCAGGTCGAGGACCATTTCAATGGGCTGCAGTTCGATCAGCAGCTCAGAGATTGTGTGCTGCCTATTGCGGGGATTTCTGGCTCCAATCTTCGAGTACAGATCCTGCAGGCTGACGGTGGTAACCACCACACTAATCAGCGGCAAATTGCCGCTGTCGCCCAGCATTTTGACGTAGAAGCCATCCTTCTGGAGCCACTCCCCGTGCGGCTTGGCCTCGTAGTAGTTGAGTCCCAGGTTCTCCACTTTGGTGGTGACCTTCGTAAAGTCCGAATGCTTGTCCACGTTCAGTAGTAGATCTTCGAAAGTCACGACAACCTTGTTCTGTTTGCGATCGGTGGGGCTCTCCATTTCGAAGCTGATCCGTGGTATGGTCCACTGGCAGAAGAATATCAGCGAGACATCTAAATTGGGAACTAAAATAGACTTAAATGTTGGCCGAAATGAGCTCGGGTCTGTGTCTTGTATCACCATTTTTCGCTTGAGGGGGCTCAAAGTTGGGATCCAATTCCAGAAACTCCTTTATCACGGGATAGGTTTGGGAGCTGCCCGTATAAACCTCCAGTCGGGGACCCGAGCTCCATTTGACATTGCCATCCTCTTCAGGACTGAGAGATCTGTGAATCTCGGAAACGATTTGAAAATGCTCGTGTAGAAGTTTCACCTGGAATATCGTGCGATTAGATGGTTACTCGATTGTTATGTAGAATGGTTTACCCTTCGAGCAAAAACATTAATGGGCGACATGTCCACGTGCACATTTATTGAGTAAGTACCAAAGCCTCGCTGTTCTACAGGTTTATCGGAGGTCTGGTCCTGCTTCTGATCCACCGCGGCCGTCTTCTTCGAATGAAGGGATCCCGGAAGCTTCTCCTCGATTGGCTTATAGGACATGGCCAGAGTGATGGTAGTCCTGACTGGTGCCAAAACCTCTTCTGATATGTCTCCCCTGCAGTAGCAGACATTCAAGTCGTTCAGATCCGTGACCCAGTTGACCAGATCTGCTTCGGCATCCACCAAAATGACACTCCTGATATTCCCACGGGAAACGAAATCGCAGTTGCTGGACTTGATTTTCATGCGGGGCAGCCGTATGGACGTGTATTCCACATCCGACTCTGCGGGCCTCCTGCGCACCATGAGCTCGCACACGTCTACCCGGATCTGGGCAATCTCTGCGAGCACTACCATGGAGCCGAGACGCTTCGCCAGCTGACCAAGATCTAGAGCATTCTTCCGCGGCTTGCTGTCCATCAATAAACCGGTTACTGGTTCCATCTGTGTGTGCCTCTCATCCCGCTCGGAGCTGAGATGCACTGTCTCCTCAGGGACGGAGATCTTGCGGCTATTGTTGCGGCTGATTCGACGCGGTTGAAGGGGCAACGCTGTGGCAGATATCGTGGAATAGTTTGACACCGATTGAGGAAAATGATGCTCGGACTGGCTTGCGGCAGCATCCACATCCATTTCGATCTCTGAAATAAAACGAAAATTTAGTTTAGAAAACAGAAATCTTCAATCTTCAGGCTTTATTCCCTGAAGGCATACCATTTTCCGTTGATTTCCTTTTCGTTGTGTGCTCTGGGAACTTGAGAAACTGCAGGAGATATATATCTATGGTAAAGCGACAATGCTCCACCCACAGACACATAACCGTCCCGGGCATCTGCTCCTGTTGCTGCAAGGCTGTCTCCTGCAGTGGCAGTGGCAGCTGCAGCTGCACCTCTAGCCACTTGTTGTTCAGGTTCTTGGTGGTGGACAGCACCACGTTGCGCATGTTCATCTTCGTGTGGTAGGCATCTGTGTTGAGGCTTCGCAGCGACGCATTTGCCGATAGATGCGTGTGATACTTGTGGAAATTCAGTCGCAGTTTTGTGGCCAGCGTTTGCAGCTTGATCACATCCGAACTGGCAGTGGATTGCGCCACAAAATGGGACACAGCACAGAGCTCTGTGCCGTTGAAGCTCGCTATCAGCGGAATGATGCGCTTGGCGAGGATCAGCTCGCGCTTCGAGAACTCTATAGTCAGGATCTCCGACTGAATCTCCGCCGTTTCCAGCGCAGCATCGTTTGGTCGCCAGAGATGGGGGAGCAGGAGGCGATTAACGTTCAACTGCATCCGGGGAATGTTCAGCAGCTTGGCGCGGCCGTTCTCGGGCGTGGTATTCAGGATCATCAGCGTGATATTCTTCACACTGAATCTGTAGCAATTGTAGCACGAATTGAGGAGCTCTCGCGGCTTGTCCTGCAGCTGGGTGATCAACTGGACCAGACGGTGTGCGTTCACTGGCTTGCACAGCGTGCCCTCGACTAGGGGTAGTCTTAGCTGGAGATATGGCAGCAGGGATTGCTTGACCGTGGTCGACAGCTGATGCTGATTGGCTGCCGAGGACTCTTCTGGCTGCTGGCGCGGATACAGCTGAATGGTCATGTTCCGCAGCTCGATCTTGTAGTTGCAGGTGGGAGCGAATCCAATGAGGTACTCCAAGTCCGCCAAGGTCATGTCTGTGTTAAAGTGCTCCTCGTGCTGGGGCTCCTCCCTGACCGACTCTGAATGATATCCCGAGTAATCGTAAGGACGCAATAAATCGCTAATTACATTCTTAACCTGGAGAAATGACTGTGAGAAGTGGAAAGTAATCCCAGCGGATAGTAGACGATACTGAACGCGCAGTCCCAGGTCCTTCAGCTGGCTCTCGGCCAGGGGATGGCTGTTCGGCTTTGGGGCCCGGTACTCGACAATATCGAACGACAGCACGGGGCTGCGGAAGAGCATATACTCATCTGTGTTCCTGGCCACGTAGTCCTCGTAGTTGTGGCGGCACCAGGTGCGATCCGAGAACATAAAGTGCTCGTCGAACAGGCTCTTGTCGATGAATGTGCGCCCCTTTAAAGACTGCAATAAAATCGTGGAAAATGCAACTTTCTGTCTCACAAATGAATGGTCGGCTCACCTCCTGGGTATTGACCAACACCCGATCGACTGGATCCTCGCTCCTGTATGCCCCCAAGGGCTCCATGCAAAGGCTCGAGAGCCCCGCCTTGACGTTCGTCCAGTCGTTCTCCTTCAACTGCGATCTCTCGTAGTAGATGCCGCCCAAGCTGATGCGCAGGATGGGTGTATAGCGGATCCGCTTTATCCCTCCCATGGCCTGATCGGTGAAGAACTCCGAATTCTTCAGCTGAAAGTTCAGCTCCTCAGCATATATGCCTATATCGAAGGCATGGCCAATGGTCTCCTCTGGGTCGGGGTCGGGGACCTGCGACTCGAAGCTGGGCAAAAGGTTCCAGGCCCACCACAGATAACTCTGACCCTCGGGCTGTGTACCCCCCACCGGAACTTCGTTGCCCTCCGCTGTTTCCTCTGGATCGTCTGGGTTGAGAGCTTCCTCCTCCATCTCCGCAGGCTTGAGTTCGAGCAGCATTTTGACCAACCTCATGACCATCGGGAATTGCAGCGAGGACACGTTAATGTCCAACGCTTTGGTGAAGACCCCGATTCTGGTCGTGCTCGAGGTGCTGACTGTGGTGGCATTGTACTTGCGCAGGACGCGACATTCCAGGGTGCAGCGATAGAGGACCGGCTCCTGGCACACCTCAATCCTTCCGGCCGTGTTCCGCTTATCGAGGCAGATGGTAAGATCGGATATCTGCAGTAGTTTGCGCATGGAAACCGACACAGGGTGCACGTCCACCATTGTGGGCTTCCAGTTCTCGCCGGCGGGGCTAAAGTTCATGCACTGGACATTCATGGACACGACAATGTCGTCTTCGACGTACTTCAGAATGATGTTGTGGCACTGCAAGGTGATGTTGTTGATTATCTTTTTGACCACGACTGAGCTACTGGCGGGGGCAGCACCCTGCTGTTCAGCCTCCACTGCGGCTTTTTTCGCCTTCCGGCGCTGCTCCTTTTGGTACGAGGCACGACGCTGCCTGCTCTCATTGTCCGGCAGCTTGGCCACAAACTCAATTGTGTTTATGATAATTTTCACCGGCTCCGACATGAGCTTTGTCCATGGCACCTGGATGCTCAGCTCGTGGATGTGCCCCGAAACGAGCTCCACGGGTAGATTGAGCTCCTCCTCCAGCACCTCCAGGCGCAGGTCGAGGTTCTGAAACGTCACCTCACCCTCCCACAGTGACACCTGGGCATCTTCGTCACGGAAATTCTTCACATACTTGGCCACGTAGCTTAGCAGAATCGGGGTGATGTAGGACTCTAGCTTGAACATGGTTGTTCCCGTCCTTCAGTTTTCCACGTCGATTCTCACGCGCTGAAGATTCACTCCAGACGTCGGGCTGCCGTCGCGTTTAAAGGTATTTGAAGCACATGCTGTAAATTTTGTGTCGAGTCGTTGCTAAGCCAAAAATAAAATAAAGCAAATATTACCTGTAATTTTTTGTAGATTGTTTACGTTTTAGCCCCGGCAAGCAGTGTTGGCAACGGACGTTTACATTAGAGGTGGAGAAACATCGATGTTAGCAGAAGGCTAACTAGAGGCTGCTAGCCCTCCTCGCGACCAACCGACCGATTGGTGCTGCTGCAAGACGAGCGGCGCGTTAACAGAACCAAACAGGAACATGCAGGAAAGATAGCTGATAGACTGATATTCGAGGAAAATTACTAAAAGAACTAAGCATGCATTCAAAATACAAGTACTAATACATTTACTAAATAAGGGGGAAAGGTACGTGAGTTATTTAATAAGAGAAAGGGTATTAGTGGTTGGCAGAATGTGGTAGAGGGAATTAAAATCATAGCGTAAAACCCTAAAATGTTCATGCAGGAACAACGGATAGTTTCTAGTCAGGATATAAATTAAGTATATAGGTTATTTGAAAAACATCGATAAAAACAGCGATGTCCGCAACCATCGATGTTTCTCCAGGTCTAATTTACATCACTGCTTTGGCCGCGAACAGCTGTTTCATTGTTGACGTGCAGCAACAGTTTTATGTTTTAGCAAACTTTATCAAAATGCCACAAATTATTGAATCTGGCAAGGACTTTGGTAAGCATTAATCGTGCATTAGCTTGCTCTTCAAACTATAAATCGTCGACTTCTCGCAGATGTGGTCAAATACTTCCTGCAGCTCCTGGACAAGGACAAGGATATGTCGTACGGCATTGCGGCCATTAGGACGCTCCTTATGATATTGGAGAAGAAACAATGTGCGTAAGGCTGTCAGAGAGGCATTTCTTATGGTAACACATATACCTTTTAGTTGGGACGATCCACATTCTGCACACGACCATGAGGGAGGCGGTGGCAGCCATGCGGAATACGGATTTGTCTATAGCAGCCATCGTGTCGGCCGGCGAACTCTTCTGTCGGTTCATAACGCTCAGTCTGGACGATAAGCATATGGAAGAGTGCCGCCTAATAATGCTCAATCGTGGTAAAATCTTTCTGGACAAATTGGACAACTCTCGCCAGGTAGATTTCGCTGATCTACACATATAGATGCGTAGTGTAATCCGTAGTATTTATGCCCTTCCAGGTGATTGGACAGCAGGCGCAACGTTTTATTAGCGACGGCTGCCGCATATTGACACACTCGAGATCCCGAGTTGTGCTCAAGGCTCTTATTACAGCCTCGCAAAACAAAAAGTCCTTCCACGTGTACGTTACTCAGGGCGGCACAGGAAACTCTGGGTGGGTACCAACTAACTGTCTACGGATTCCATAAATTCTCAGATTTTATCATCAGGGAGGAGATGATCCGCGACTTGAATGCGGCTGGCATCGCCTGCACTTTAATACTGGACTCCGCCACAGGCTATGTAATGGAATCGGTTGACTTTGTGATGGTGGGTGCCGAGGCAGTGGTTGAAAGCGGCGGCATTATTAACCGAATTGGAAGCTACACAATGGGCCTGTGTGCGCGGGAGATGAAAAAGCCCTTCTACGTACTCGCTGAGAGCTTCAAGTTCACGCGTCTCTATCCATTAAATCAGCGCGATCTGCCCGATGAGTACAAGGTAAGTGCAGGATCCGTGGCAGCAGTCGATCCGATCCGATCCCCTTTCTGACTGGACTGGTATCATTTGCAGTACTCGCGCAAGCATCTCAACGATGTCTCCAAGGTCCATCCCCTGGTGGACTACACACCTCCGGTCTACATTACGCTGCTCTTCACCGATCTGGGCATACTGACGCCCTCGGCAGTGAGCGACGAGTTGATCAAATTGTACATGTAAACAATAAACAAAAAAATAATATATGCATAGCAATTGTTCTTGTTGAATACATACAAATACAGATAAATAGGGGTTACATATTGCCATTGCTGAGGATTTACATACAATATATACACATATGTACATATATGTATATATAAAATAAAGCTAATTAATTAAGCCCAGTTACTTCTTAAATTTATGTTATGTGCTTTGCTTTAAAATGGCATCTCGTTCGCATAGTTGGCATCGACATCATCTTCTGCGTCCCAGTCCAACCCCCAGCGGTCGTACGAGTCTAGGCTGTAGTGGGAAGCCTCACTGTTGTTGCCATCCTCATTGGAGTACTCGCTGTTGTACTCCAGATCGTCTGAATAGCTATCGCTGCCACTGTCCTCGCCCATGTCGTGCTCATCATGCACTCCCAGTTGGTCATCGAAAGCATCATCCATATCATCCAAATCGCTTGCATTCTGCAAAGAGAGTTTACGTTTATATAAGGCTTTCTTTGACCCGGGTGGTTTTTACTCACAAATTGTCCCGACTGTATGTTGATTTCAATCTGCAAACGTATATCCATAACCAGAAATGCTGTGGTGACCAGAATCGGTATGGTCAGACGACTTTTCCAGGCCAACTCAGTGAGAAATAAGAAGATATTGCCGAAAGTAGAGTCCATTGTGCTGCCACTAGTGATCGCCTTCCGCTTCCACTTCAGTGTGCTCCTCTTCGCGCTGCTCAAGAGCGTCGTGTTCCACTATGCGAACGGTTTCGCCCACTGTTAGGGCTTGGACAGGAAGCAAGTGACGATGCAGCCGACCACTGTCGATCGGCGTATCAAGCTCCAGTAGCTGTTCAAATATTGTGACTGGTACGCCGTTGGCCGACAGGAGAGATCGCATGCAATCCTGCCGCTTGTCCTGCAAATTTTCCAATAACTTGCTGCCCTTTTGCACCTTGGCCAACTTCCGCTCTGAAAATTCAGTTGTCTTTAGCAATTAAGCGTGTAAGTACACATTCCATATGGAATATTCTCACCTAATAGTTCCAAATAGTTACTAGAATCAGGCAATGGGTCGTGCAGGTTCCTATCATTGCTGTTCTTAATATTTTCAAAGTCTTTTTCGTTGCCTTCCTGGTTCTGGTCGTGAGCTATGAAATTATCTTCAAAACTGTCACAGTTGCTTGAGAATTCTGTGTTTCCCTGATCAGTTTTTGTATCTTTCAATTGCCAGGGATCGGCGCTGCCCGTTGACATCTTTAACGCACCTACTTAATAAATTTAACTCTCGAAATATATATATGAAACTGTTTGTACGTAGTTTTTGTTGTGAAGATTAAAGAGACCGAAATATACCATCTCACATATACAATATACCGAAAAATATACCGATGAAAAAACTAATTTAACCCACTCAAGGCCCCAAACTTTTTTTTTTAATTTTCGTTTGACGCTTCATGGTACGGGCGCGCGGGGCTATTACTTCAATTCTCTTTTCCGCTACCTTCGCCTCCGAAATGCTACTCGGCTTCGTCAATGCCTCGGTCAGCGTCGAGTCGGTGTGTCTCGAGAGAAAGAATACAAAAACAAAATATGAATCGTCTGCGTGCCGAAACCGTAGGGCAGCGTGGTCGCGGTAGAGACGAAGTACAGGCGAAAAGGGAATTGAAACTCCGCGCGCTCCCTCGTGCCTTTTGGGTTCTAATGTTAGGACCCGCCATAGAACAGCTTTTTGGTCGCTCATGCAACATCTTGGTATTGTATAGTCTTTGGTGACACGCATTAAATGTAAGATAATAATAGGATAGGCCACAGCTTAGGAGCAAAATACATAAGAACACCACACTCTTGGCCGATGAGCCAGAAGCCGGAAAATTGACAGCGTGCCGCTCCAAGCTGAGAGGACCATCTCGCCTACATCGTGGTTGCACGTTACAGAGTTGCCTTTATCAGTTAACGCTCTAGCAGTTAGGCTGTCGCAAGTTGCTGCCTCTGCTGCTGACCACTGCAAGTACTGGCACTGGCATTGGCTGGTGCTGGCGCAGTATGTCCTCCTACTTTAACCTCTAGCGCGTCTGATGACTCCATCGACTCCTTTGTAAACGGCTTCCACAATGCCCTTGCGCCACTCTCTTCGGGGCAAGGCTGGATCGCAGATGAAGTCCGTCCTCTGGCACCGTTTCTCTCGGCGCACAAGTGTAGGCAGGTACTCCAAGACCCACCTCTTCCAGAAAGGGTCCCTCATTAGTCGCGCTATACGCCACTGCTTGCATGGCCAGCATTGGTCTCCAGGCGATCCTTCGGCAGGGGTCCCATTATTGGCGGCGCTGCCCGCGCCCGATGCAACTTGCACACGTTGCATGCTGAGATCGTCTTCCGTAGTACGCATCTCAGCTTCGTAATCCAGAACCTTGTTCGGATCTCCGCAATCGTAGCATCCACGCCTACTCGCACTGTATGGCATACACAATGCGGCATCCACTCTGCCGTATGCTCGCAGAACTCCATGGCCATCTATGTATGGCGCCAGTCCCCGAATGTCGCTTCCACTGGCGACCGTCTTGCCGACTTCTGTCGACCGCATCTCGTTCGGAAACGCCTCACATTGTGCCTGTCTGACCAACAGTTTCTCTGCGGCCTCACACTCTGCTGCAGTGAGGCCGTAGTTCTCAAGCTCGCACATACGTTTTAGCACATACGAAGCTCACCAGCTCGTCGTCATCCTCATAGGTGACCCTCCAGTAGGCCACTGCCGCGAATGCAGACTGACTTGCATCCACGAAGACGTGCATTTCTATAGCCCTCACGAGTCCACGCCCGAAGTAATGGCGAGGACATCGGAACTGTCCCACGGCGTCCATTCCTTGCGCCTTGTATCCCTTGGTTCATCCCACTGGATCTTCTGCCTCCAAATCTCTCGTAGCAGCAACTTCGCTGTTATCATAAGGCAACACAGGAAATCCAGGGGATCAAACGTGGACATGACCAAGCTCAAATACTCCCTCTTGGTAGGGACTCGATCGCCGTTCAATACGCTGCTTGGAACTCGATGATACTTCACAGTGAACCTGAAATCGTCCGTGGCTGCCTGCCAACACATTCCGAGAATCTTCTGTTCAGCATCATTCCATCCGACGCTCACGCTTCGTCCTGGTGGGCCCAATGCCGTCTCCACAATTGGTGAGCTGGATGAAAACTGGCACAGCTCAAATCCAGCGTTCGCATGTATCTCCTTCACTCGGGTAGATACGCTGATGGCTTCGCTCTCGGTAGCAAAGCTGTCCACATAGTCATCCACATAATGATAGTCGATGATGGCCTTGACTGCTCTTGGATCCCAATGTCGAAACTGTTCAGCATTCACAGTCTTCACGTAATGCGCAGCGCTTGGCGAGCAGGCTGCTCCAAAGGTCATTACGATCATCTCGTAGATGTCAGGATCTCTTCTGTCATCGCCATCTCTCCACAGAAACCGTTGGGAACATCTGTCTTCGGGTTGGATCAGGACCTGATGGAACATCTCCTTGATGACGCCACAGACTCCAACAGCACCTTTTCTAAAATGAAAGAGCACAGCTGGCAAGGGTTTATAATGTTGAGGCCCTTTGGCCAGCGCCGAATTTAGCGATGTTCCTCCAACTCTGGCTGCAGCGTCAAAAGTCAGCCGAACCTTACCCGGCTTGTTCGGGTTTTCGACTCCAAAGTGTGGCAAGTACGATAGCCTGTCGCTTTCCACTGGAACCTCGTTAGGCTCCAGACGTCGAGCGTATCCTTTAGACACGTAATCCTTGATGATCCTGGTGTATTCCTGCGTGAACGACCCGTTGCGCTTCATTTTCTTCTCGACGTTGACCAACCGCTTGTACACCATATCATAGCTCCGTGGAAGCACAATGTGGTCATCCTTCCATAGTAGTCCTGTCTGGTAACGTTGGCCCACTCTCACCGCAGTATCTTCTGCGCCCGCTCGTCGTCGCTGCCTGCAACTGGTGGCGTGGGTTCACGCTTCCACCATCCTCTGAATAGTGTCCTCCAGTGACAAAGCTAGGAGGCAAGACCGTGGTTGAGGCATGTTTGATTTCCCACTTACCGGACCAAAGACAACCCAGCCCAGCATCCGCATACGGTCCCTGTCTGGCAAACCGTCTCGATCTAAGTGGAAATCCTAAATGTCCGTCTAGAAACTGCTGTCTGCTGGTTTCGCTGGCTGTAGCCTTTCTCCGCCTCGTTGCGGCGACCTTCTACGTTCGTTGTCCACACCATGTAGCAGACGGTGATGCCTCTTTCTGCTGTAATGAAGCGATCTTGGCTGGGGTACATACATATGTACATATGTATTTCAATCTACTCCAGGGTCGAAATTACAGCAATATTTATAATTTGCCGGGACTCCGAATTTCGGACCGACGATGGGGACGGGGAGGCAGTCCAGTGGGCGGGAGCGATCGTAGTGGGGGAGAACCGTGGCACGTGTCGTGGCAGTCGATTTCACCGAGAACGCTCCGGCTATCGCCGGATAGCGCCTTCAGGACCCCATCGAACTTAGAATTAATACGAAGGTCTTTGCTATGCGATAATACCGGCAAGTATCACCGAGAGTGCCAAGGCTTTCGCCGGGCAACACTTACGGGACCCTGTCGGACTAAGAACTACTACGAAGCGGAAGAGGGCCGACAGGTATCGCCGAGAGTACCTAGGCAATCGTCGTTCCCGCTCTGTATCGGCGTCTACGCTGCGCCGGTGACTTTTGTCTCTCTTTTTCTTTTTTCTTTACATGGTTTTGATTTTCCGTGTTTCTCTTCTGCCGTTGCTGCTGTTGGCTTACCGTTTCGGCGCTTCGTTGCTGCGTCGACGCTGGCGGCTTATCTTTTCGGCGCTTCTCGTCTTCGGCTGTCGCTGAATTGATGCTGTTGGCTACCGTTTCGGCTCTTGGTGTATTCCTCTCTCTCTTTGGCTGCCGCTGCGTTGTTGTCGTTGGGTTTCGTTTCTTGGTGTATTCCTCCCCGTTGCTGTGTCGATGCCGTTGGTTTTCGGTTCTTGGTGTATTCCTCTTTCTCTCTTTTTGCGCCGTCGTCGTTGGGTTACTTTTCTAAAAGAAACCAGTGGCGTCTGCCGTGATCTCGGGTCCCTCCAATGGAAAAACGACGGCGACCTGGTGGGCGGAAAAATGTGGGTGGAGCGTACGCTCCCTCAGTTTTGGCATTGGTGAGAAATGAGCCTCGTAGTTTTTAATTCCATGTTCATGTATATTGCGATTGACCTATTTACACGCTCATGATTGCAGTACACCGCCTAAGTAACTATTTTTACGCGCATAGCTGTGTTGTTGTTTACTCGGGTCCAGAACATAGCTGTAATGTTCTCACACGCATGGCCAGACCCGCAGCTGCACACTCACACAACGATGCGTTCCGTTGTTTTGCATTGAGACCGTCGCGTCGAGTCTTATCGCGTGATCTTTCAATTCCCTTTTGCTCGACTTCTTTTCGCGAGTTGATGCAGTAGAAATTTCTAGACGAATCCGCCCGCACGCATAGTTTATACCGCCGCATCATAGACAACCCCCGCTATTCATATACATATGTACATATGTACATGTGTAACATAACCGCCAATCTTAAATACTCAATATATGAACCTATGTAAATAAATAAGCTCAAGATATAAACGATTATACAGTCCACTAATTCATAACCAGGCATAAGTGTCGATATCTACTAAACACAAATAATTGCATACGCCGATTTAACGCTAATCCTAATTATAATACAATAAATGGTGTAATATTGAAGTCCGATTTGCCGTTTGGCGAAATTTAAGTACATTTCAATTGGATTAAAGAAATTAGAGCTGTTGAAACGTCGAAACATTGTCATCGATGTTTGGATGTACTTTGCAGACATCGATGATTTTCCTAATTATTAGGTGTTTCTTTTGGCAGAACTTTTGAAATGTGTTGCTGACACGAAAGTAATTTAGACTCTTATACTGGAGCTTGGAACTTTTCGCACATATTGCAAAGCAGTTCCAGATTTCTGTGGAAGAGACATTAGATTCGATCATATTAGATTTGTTAGAATGTTACAAAGCTCTTTTGGAAAACTCGCAACTGCTGCATATCACTTGGCTGCACTTATTGCAGGATGCACTGCATTTTGTGCAGGTGAATTCCTCGCAGGTGCTGCAAGTAAGTTTGTCTGCATGGCAGCAGAGTGTTATAGCAGGAGCGTTGGATGGCGGTATCTGACTGTTAACCTTAGCCTTCTTTTTTATCTCATACTGTTTTGA